GCGGCTTTGGCAACCAGAGATTAAAAATAAGCTTTGGTTTTTCCAGTAGCCAAAAGGATCCCTCACCAAAGCTCACAGACTGCAGCACCTGAGAATGCAAAACCACAGTCTGGGTGCAGGGGTGTCTGCTTTTTAAATGACCTGCTAATTCTTTGCAACCCACAGTCATTTGGTTTCTGTGAACCCACCCCCACCCCCTCTGTCTGCTAACCTGGAAAAGTCCTGTCTTAATGAGTCACTGGAAACAGGATCAGTCATTTTCACAGCTGCCCCATTTTCCTAACATGCGAAAATCTCTGGCCTGCGTCTTTTCGAGAGAGGAAGAGGCACAAGCTACTCTGGTGCCTGGAAGATGCAGGAGCCGCACACATGTGCGGAAAAGGATGGGAAGGGAGCAGGTGGGTGCCACTGTGGGGCTGTCCTCCACGCATTCTGGAATGGGGCCAGTGGAGAGATGGGCAGTAAGGATCATTCGAGGAAAACCCTCACGTGGCTTGGGGCACTGATCATTGCAGGCTTGGGGGAGATGAGGGGGCAAAGCAATTCCAGTTCCCTGGTGCAGGGCTGTGGCGTGTCTGCAGCAGGGGGTTACCTCACACTCATTCCGAGATTCACTGCTTTCTACCCTTAAGTATTAAAACAACCCAAAGATCGCCAACAGAGGCAACTGACTTCCAATCATGGCCCCAGGGTTTTCTCCTGGCTTTCAGTCCAGACACAACAGCAGGGTGGGAAATCTGCAACCATCCAATAGAATCCACCGCCGCCCCCCAAGTCACGTGATCCCACAGACAACATTACGCAAACCCCCACAACCTCCTTGGGGGCAGGTCTTGTTGTGCCCTCCATTTTGAATCATGACACGTACATTGGGATCTCAAGCGGCCACCCGATCAATACTCGTACACGATGATCCATGCAGGCACCAGACAGCCCGCTGTCCCAACAGGAGAAACCTCTCTTGGGTTGCACTGTGGGGTGCACTGATGGCATGGCAGGGGGGGCACACTCCACGAGGGGGCTTCCAGAAACTGGGAGGCAAATGGAATCGAAAGATTCTGGACATTTCTGAGGGCCTTTGGAAACCCCTCACTCACCTATAGCTGGGGCAAGGCAGAGGTCACCTTGTGTTGCTTCAGGCCTCTCTTCTAGCCAGTAGTCAGCCCTCCCAGTCCTGGGTCACTGCTCATTCTCAGAACTTTCAGTTCCTCTGCCTTAGGGTACACGGTCCTTTTCCTAAGGCGGTCCCCAGCCAGCCTTTGGGGGCAGCTCAACATTGTCCTCTTTACAGGGCCGTAAATCCGAGTGTGCCGGTTTCCTGAGGCCTGCCCAAGGGAATTCTCTCACTGGAATTTCCAAACATCCCCTGGGGACCATACTTTCTCTCAGTGGGGTATGCATTAAAGAAACATCTCCATCACAGTCTTGTCATCTGCCCTGAACGTGTTCACAGAAGCACTGCTGTTTTCCCTCGAACATTCGAACCCTCACATCCCTCAGGGGACAAAGCACAGAAAGGAAGCGAGGAACCTGTCGTAAGGGGATGCTGCTGCTGTTTGGAAAACATGCTCACGAGATGGGTTGCCAGCACAGGGTTCATCACATGTTGTGTTTTTCAATGTTTCTCTTTTGGCAAAAACAAATCTGGGGTCATCTTCTGTCTGGGCCATGATGACTACAGGCCTAGGAAATGTCAAGCTCAGCACTCAAAAGGTGAGACATTTTATCACTGAGAAAAGTCAGAAGCCCAGTCAGTAACAGCTCCCAATGGTAAGAAAACATCAGGTTAGCTAGCTTATCGGTCCCAAAGCAGATGTCTTTTCGGAAGAATGAATTGAGAAATCTGAAGGCTGGTGGATGAATTAATAGCTTGTTTTTCCGTTTTTTGCCGTTGCTGCTGGTGCCATGGAAGAGACTTTTATTTAGTTCTCTGCCACTAGGCAGTATCTGTGCCACACCTCATGTAGTGATGAAGGGGGTATCTGCTCCACCCTCACCCCAGTTGGCTGGAAGGGACAGCTGCATGGGTTTGACTGCTCCTCAGATCTCGGCCTCCTGCGCGGAGGGTGGGTCAGGAAGACCTACTGAGCTCCGGGGTTGAGGGAGGCTCTGGATGAGCAAGTCATTGTGCCACCTAAAGGCGGGACAAGACTTCCCTGACCCAGAGTCAGAGGTTAGCCCCAAACTTGCTCTCCTCTGTAGCCATCTGGCCAGAATGTCCCTCGCTCGCTACCAGCAAAAGTGCGGAGGGTAAGTAGAGAAAGAAGTGTTCGCCTGTGTGGCCGTAGCCGATTGCATGCCATCTTGGCTCAACTTCCAGACTTAAGAGTGTGCCGTGCCCTCCCATGCACACATTCTCCGTGCAGCCATGTGCCCTAGTCAACGCCCAGACCACTATAGTGGTCCCCACACCCTGGCTCAGAAAATGACCTCAGAAGGAGACCGGTGAGCACCTCCACTTGCCACAGGAAAAAGGAGGAGGAGAAGAAGGAGGGGGAGAAGGAAGAGGAGGAGGAGGAGGGCTGCATCTAGGAAGAATCCCCAGGCTGGTGGGGATCGGCTTGAGCCTCGCCATTGTGTGACGTGGAGGTTCATTTCCTCAGCAAAGGTTTTCCCTCATCTGGGAGAGATGGCCCTTCCCCAAGCGTTCTCTCCTCTCAGTCCCTGCTTCCAAATGCACTTTCCCTTGACTCCCAAAGGGCCGACAGGCTGCGGGATCGTTCTAGGACATAAGCAGCTCCTGGTTCATAATGGGTATAGGCGCTTGGGTGTACCTTGGGTGACAGCAATACAGTGATGTACTGAAGCCGACGCACCTACACACGTCTCATCCTTTATCGGGAATCTCAAGCATGTTGGGACTGTTGCCATGGAATCTTCTGGACCCCCTTCCCCAAGACAGACACCAAGCCACCACGATGGATAAGCCGCTTGTGCAGTCTGAGGTGGACTGCCTGAATTACTGGCAGAGTTGAGAACGAGCCCTTTTGAAATATCAAGGCAGCCACGCGAAGCGCTCATCTACCAGGAATTTGGAATGCTTGGCTCTAATATGAAAACTGGCTCCATGAAGTTGTCCCTGGAAGCAGAATTTATTTCCTCTAGCACAAGTTCTTAAGCAGGGGGGTGCGGGGGTGGGGGCGGGGGTGGGGGGAAATCTTTGGCAAGCAGCTGCAGGCGTCCGTTTGCGTGCACACCTTGGGGCGAGATCAAAATATCTTCTTGTATTGTGTTGCTTCTCACCCTTTCATCCTATTTACAACTCCGGAGTTAAAGGAAAAAATGAATGCACTACCATTTTCACACCAAAGACATGTGAAACGCAGATTCACACGTGTACTCTTCTGGGTCACACCCGTAAATTAAAAGGCTGAAAAAAATAACTCGTGGTTGCTTCATAATGACATTAATTTGAAGCTGGGAGGAATCTTCGGGACCATCTAACTCCAGCTCTTGTTTCATGGCGGGAAGCTTACTTTTAAGTGTTAAGTGACTTGCCCAAAACCACATTGCCAAGAGCCGCAAATGCAGAATTGAACAACAGTTTTTGTGAAACCGCCCCCTAACCTCCGACCCCATCCCAGTGCTAATTTTAAAATGATCTTCGCAGTTCCCCTTAATAACATGTCCCTCCTTATTATTAATGATAAAAATGACCGGCTCATCTGCAGACCCAAGATGAGACTCTCAGAGATCTTAGACCACAGCGGTTCCATGGCTAATGGTGGGGGGGGGGGGAAGGAATGACCGGATGGGGGAGGACTTCCAGCAGAGGGGTGCTTCCCTCCACCCCCATCAGGCAGCTCAGTTGTGACCTAACAACACCCCAGGCATCGATCCCCACTTCTCCTTGAGGGACCATGCGTCTCCAGCTCTCCGAGATGCCTTATCAAAAAGACCACTGGCAAGTTTGTAGGTCAGGACTCCCCAAAGGAGAACTGTTGTTTCTTCCCGTTGGAACGGCCCCTCCTCAACCAATCCCGATCAAAGAGAATAGACGGGTCACACACAGTGGACAGCTTTCCAGGATTTCGATGACCGTCTATGTTTAGGACCAGTGGCTCTTCCGGTATAGCATTTCTCCTGGTTCAGTCCAAAGCAGCTCGGAATTGGATCCCGAAGGAAGGGTCAAAGCGGAAGCGGAAGCATCATCAGATTGTTCTTTTTTTGTTTCAAACCTGTGCAGAGGCAGCGAGGGGTCTGTGCTCAGCGAAGGCACTGAGCAGTCAGGCACTTATCTTAGGGCGGTTCTTTTCCCGAACCTCTATTTGGGGTAGGAGCCCTGGTGGCACAAGGGTTAAGAGTTGGGCTGTGACCCGAAAGGTCAGCAGTTCGAAACCACCTGACACTATGCGAGAGAAAGACAGAAAAACTGTTCACCTCCCATGAACAGTTACAGTCTCAGAAACCAAACGGGGCAGTTCCACCCTGTCCCACAGGGTCACTCTGAGCTGGCATTGATTTGATGGCAGTGAGTGTATTTGTGTGTTTGTTTTGGTCGACTTTAGGGTGGGGAGCTGAAGCCCCAACCCGACAGCTTTAAGTACAGAAGTCAGGCTTTCCCAGCAAGGTCAGCCATCTGTCTCTCTGGATCCGAGTATTTGCCCCAAAGCCTTTTCCACGTCTGACTGCTGTGGCACCGGAAGTACACGTGGGCTGGTCTGACCGGCAGCACACTTCCGCGATGGCCAGCCAGTCTGTTGGCTGCAAGAGGTCATGACGGAATATTCCACTGGCTTTTAAGTGTCTGGTCAGAAAACAGAGCCGTCACAAAAGAACTAACGTGGCAGACTTGCAATAGGTTTTGAAATGAAGACAGCGTTTCTCTGGAAGCCCCTGTGAAGAGGACCCCTGGGGTCCTAAAAATGACATGAAAAGGCACTTAGAACTGAGTAAGTTTTGAGTGTGCGTGGGTGGGAGATGGGGTGGTGGAATGGGTGCGTAGAATCAATTCTCAGAAGACGATGCCGGTGACTTGGGTGCGCCCCGAAGGGCGACGCTCACTTCAGCATGGGCCTGTGTTCTCCTCGGGCGATGTGCGACGAGAACTCATAGCGGTCATGGCTTCGGTACCCACACATGTTACACTCAAATGGATCTCGGAAGCCGTGGCAGCCCATGTGAATGGTGAACATCACGTAATCCAGGAAGAGGACGCGGCAGTGGTCACACCGGTACACATCCATCACCTCCCCTTCTTTGTTGGTGACTCTGATGGAGTCTCTTGGGCAGAGGGGCGGGGGCTTGAGGAGCTCATAGGAGCGAGGGACCTCCTTCAGGAGCGGCATCCCATTGCGGGGCCGAGGCAGGACCACGTGGCCCTGCTGGTAGATGTGGCTCTGACGTTCCTCGTGGTTGCTGTCAGTGTCCGTGGAGTCCTGGCCACTGTGGTTGGGGGAGAGGGCTCTCTCAGGAGGCCCGCTCTTCTCTGTCAGATGCATGCTCTTCCTCTCCAGGTCCTGGGCGGCACCGTTGGGCATCTCTGCTCGAGTGAGGGCAATGGGATACATGCTGTTGATCAGCGGGACCATCTCCGAGGTGGGCGCAGGCGGGGTCTGCACTAAGGGGCGCAGGGCTTCGGCGCCGAGATAGCTGATGGCATTATTGATGGCCTGGTCCATCATCCGGGTCTGGATTAGCTCACTCTCCTTCTCAAACATGTAGCCGGGATTATAGCTGGCATCAAAACAGTGGCGCTTCTCACCTAGAACAGGTGAGAGAAGGCACAGAAGGGAAAAATAAGATACATATTTCTCAGCGTTTTCCCAGTAAAGAAGCGCCGAGCGATGACTTCTCAAGAACACGCCTCCCCAGTAGAATGGTTCCCAGGGTGGTGTCGTTGCCTCAAGCGCTGCTGCTTGGTGGCAAGGTGAATGAAGCTGAGGAGAGGGTCGGAGTCCCCCTGCACAGCGTGTCCACTGCCCAGGGCACAGGGGCCCCGAGAGAGGAGAGAGACCAGCAAGGCATAGAAGGGCGGGGCTGGGAATGGATCACAAGGATCGGCATATAACCCCTCCCAGGGGGACAAACAACAGAGAAGTGGGTGAGGGGTGACAGAGGACGATGTAAGATATGAAAATAATAATCTATAATTTATCAAGGGGGAGGAAGGGAGGAAATGAGGAGCTGATATCAAGGGCTCATGTAGAAAGAAAATGCTCTGAGCCTGATGATGGCAACCGTGTACAAATGTGCTTGACACAACAGATGGATGTATGGGTTGTGATAAGAGATGTGAGAGCCCCCAGTAAAACTTCTCAATAATAAAAGGGCAGGGTTTCCAGGGGGGAAGGGGTCCCCCACTGTGTCTAGGAGGGTTGAGGACCTCATTTATCATTCATGCATTCTTAAGACACAGCCATCTACCTCCCCCCCTCTTGTTTTTCATCGCCTATTTTCTGCTTGTCCTCCAGACAGCCAGGGGGATGGGAGTGCTACAAAGCAGGGGTGCTGGGTGACTGGTGTCCAGAGGCTTTTAAAAAGCTAGATATCTAAAAAAATAACCCCCAGAAGGCCAACTTGCCACTCTCAAAACACAGGCCATCCAACTGACGGAGATTTCGGGACAAGCATTTCAAAGGCAGAAAGCCTTAGGAAAGCAAGCTCACCGCCAGAGATTCACTCTGCCCCTCCTCTCCTTTACAAAAAAACACGTCCACATGGTGTATGTGGTCATGCATAGGTCATTAGGGCCTACCCAGCACTTAACTGACAAAATGCACTTGTGGTCACCTTCTCCTGCTTATGTCAAACTGCTGAGAGATTTTGAAAATAGAGTTTAGCCACCTTCAGGGTGTGTGGGTGCTGTGTGTTAGAAACAGAGGCTCTTTGGCCGCAGGCACAGCAGGGTCTGCAGAGAGGGCAGCTGAGCTCAGGGGGGAGAGGCTTGTGGCAGGGACAACAGAGAGCGCGGAGCAGGCCTCAGGTCCTGGAAGTGAGGCAAAGGCATTTGCGGATGCTTCTGTGTTCTGTCGGCCCTGGGGTCTAGAGACATTTGCTGAACCTTGTCTTCCTCTTCCGTCCCTCCTTAGGTCTGCTGTGGTCAGTGCCACACAGGGCTCATGAGTGAAAACAGACACACGAGAAAGCAAAATGACCAGGACAGTGGCCCCAGAACTTGAGACCAGCAGAGAGGGAGCCAGAGACAAAGGTCATGTGAAAAGTTGTCAATTGGTTGCTTTGTTACACAGGCTTGGGTTTGTATTCTAAAGTCTACGGTAGAGGCATGTAGGCCAAGAGGAACATGTCTTACAAAACAATTGTAAGGCAACACACACCGCAAGATGAAGTCTCGTCACCCTTGCCTCTAAGGAGCAAGATCGTTTGGCGCAGATCATCTATCTAAACATAAGGAAAAACATCCGAGCGTGGCTGGGGAAGGGAAAGCACTGTGCGGATTCCGACGAACAGCGGAACGGGTCTGGATGGAAGTGGACATTCAGGCTTTGGAGCGCAGACATCCCAGTGGAAGAGAGAAGGGGAGGGCTCAATTCTCGCCTTCCACGAGAGGGACCTGTGTTCAGTTCAGGTCCTAGCCAGTGTACCTCATGCACGGAAACCACTCATCTGTCAGTGGAGGGGTGCACTTTGCTGTAATGCTGAACTGAGTTCACGGAGCTCCCAGGCAGCAAGGCCTGGCTACCAGCATCTAAAAACCAGCCAACGGGAACTCCAGGGGGACAACCACGTGATCCGCAACCCACGCTGGGAACGGCGCAGGACTGGGGGTGCCCATCTCTCTGGGTGCGGGGTCTGAATTCTGACTTCACAGCTCCTGGCAGCAGGGACAAGATGCAGGGAGGGGGCATGAATGAAAGCAGAGAGTTGGGGACACATGGGACAAGTAAGAGAGTCACGTGAAGGCAAGGTCAAGAGGCATGAAGTAAAGTGTTTCTCAGACTTCACTCATTCACATAGCCCTTCGCATCCCGACATCCGCACGCACCTCAGTGCTGTGGCTGCGCACGGGCGCTCCAGAACCAGCTGGGCCCCATCAGTTACTTTGGGCCTAATCTGCCCCAACTGTCATAGCTTCACCTAAAACGTGGCCCCTAATAACCACGTCTACCTCGTGGGGTCACTGGAAGAAGCTTAGCACAGTGCCCGGTACATAAAGAACACTTTTCCCCTGGCCAAAAATAAAAGAAAAGAAAACTTTTCATCAGACATAAACAGAAACCAGAATCATTTGCCATCATTAGAAGGTAATTATGAAAAATAAAGACTTTGAAGCAAAGTAATTCATTGCCTTCTGATGAGATACTGCCACGAACAGAAGGCTTTGAGACAAAGAGCTCCTTCTTCCTTGCTCAACAGAGATTAGCGAGTAGGAGACTCATAAGGGACGCAACTAGCACCAAAGGAAGGGTAATTCTTTCTCTTTGGGGATCAAGAAGGCCGAAGACGGGCTAAGAAGAACATCCCTTTCTTTTTTTTTTTTTTACATTTTATTAGGGGCTCATACAACTGTTATCTCAATCCATACACACATCAATTGTGTAAAGCACATCTGTTACATCGTTTCTCAAAACATTTTCTCTCCACTTAAACCCCCGACACTAGGCCCTCATTTTTCCCCTCCCTCCCCTCTCCCCCCTCCCTCATCAGCCCTTGATAGTTTATAAATGGGTATTTTGTCATATCTTGCCCTGTCCGACGTCTCCCTTCACCCACTATTCAGTTGTCTGTCCCCCAGGGATAAGGTCACACACAGTTCCAGAACATCCCTTTCTTATGAAGTAAACCAAGCTTTTAAAATGCCCGATGCCCATTTAATCCCAGCAGCGTACACCCCAGATTTTGGGAAATCCTGAAAACAGATAAATATGGTGCAGGTGGGGGGGGGGGATATGAAAGCGGGTTGTCGGACTGAAGGAGTGGCTTTGGATCTGAACGAGCCGCAGGCTACCACACGCCCTTGGCCAAGGGAGGCTTGTGGCCAAATGTGTTTTCAGGGCATTCATGGAACAGCAGCGAGAGAAATTGGAGCTATTGCATCAATGTCTCCTGTATCCCCAGTACCAGAAGGCCAAGGTGACAGTCTCTAGACAAATAGCCCAAGGGAGAGAAAAAATTGACCAGCGAAACACTGCCTTGGCAACCCCATCACAAGCAACCGAAAAGTAGACCTCTGCAAGAGCAGTGACGAAGGTCTTGCTCAAGGTCTAGGTGGGATGTTCTTTTTGATCACAACAGGAGCCCTGGTAGCACAGGGGTTAAGCATCGTGCTGCTAACCTTGAGGCCAGAGGTTCAAACCCACCGGTGACTCCTTAAGAGAAAGATGAGGTTGTCTGTCCCCCCACTGTCCTAGAGGCTCTATATTGACCCGACGGTAGTGGCTTGCTTGGTCAAGACTGGAAGAATGAGACTGAGAACCCAGAAATTAGCTTACACCCAAAACACTCTTTTTTTTTTGGAAAGGGCCACAGAAATGATGACACTTGGTTCCTGGGCCTTTTGAAGGTCACTGGTGCTTTTCCAGTGTGGCCAACTCTACACTACTCCCCGAGCACCCAGGTCTTTCTCTTCTCCCCCTGATGGTCCAGACAGTGTGTAGGGTGGGAGAGACAGATCGCAAACTCGGCTGTTCTCCTTTACAGTTTCCCGGCCTACACCACCTGCATCGCAAGTCGGTAAACAGCCGGGTGCTGAAGTTGTCAGCAGCAACCATGACCCCTGGATGAATAGAAACAGGCGCCTGTGTTCTGTGGTTAGCGCGGCACACTGCTCATTGTTCAGACGATGGCAGGGCCTCGGAGCTTCACGTGCCTGCCGCCTGCAAAGCGTCAGGTCCCCTCCTCTCCGAGTTACCGTAACTGGAGCGCGCAGATGATTATCAGTCACCTGTACGTGTGGGGACCGAATGAGTATGAAACTCAGCAGGGGTGAGCGACAGTCATCGAAAAGCCAAGCGCTCACGTTTCGTTAGTAACACACTCATAAAAATGGTAAGTCAAACCACAAGGGAGCAACTGCTTCCAGACCCGCACGGAGCCTCTCGTCCAGCTCCGAGTGAAAACCACACCACACCTTAGGCTGAGTCACCCTGCCAGCGGCAGGCTGATGGCGCTTCTCTTCCAGCGAAAATACCAACAGCAGCCTCACGTCCCAAGTGCAGGAACCCAGGCTGCCTGGTTGGCATTCCCCGCTCGTGACTCTTTTAAAGGTGTCAGTCCTGGGTCTCTAAGCCTGGCAATGTGAACTGGGGCACCGCCCCTGACCTGAATTGCTGCCCCGTGTTGAGGGCATGTGGTCGTTGGCCTCTAACTGCCAAAACGGTAGCACAGAACACAGCGAAAGGGGCCTTGCCTGCGGCTGTGGGTCTGCCTTAAGGTCTAGGGACAAGACGGACCCCCCTCCGCCGTTCCCTTCTGGCTTCTAGACTTCACAATACCTGCCACTGTGCCGAATTCACAGAAATACTGCTAGCAACCACTCCTATGCGCAGAGGACAGACTGTCCAGGGCCGACGCAGGGCCTTCTCATCCTGTTTCGCTTCATCTTGACTCATCGTTTATCCTCATTCAGTCCTAAAAGGTGTGACTGATTGCCTCCTGGTCCGACGAAGGAGTCTTGCTGGGGTGTTGGGTAAACGTTGGACTGCCAACCACAAGGTTGCCGGTTAAAACCCGCCAGCCAGCCACTCCACGGGAGAAAGGTGAGGAGGTCTGCTGATTGACAGCCTTGGAAGCCTCTGCTGGGTC